CTTCGGGAACGGATACGATAATTTACTTTTTTACTTACTCTTTGGAATGCCCTTCCCAACGATATTCGCCTCCACAGTGCGGCGGTTGCCTTTAAACTGGCTCTGAACAGAATTAATTGTAATTTGTAACCACCTTGCTCGGCATCCCTACACATTACTGCATGTTTTCTCGGTGTTTTCTTCACTGCATGCTTACACATACACACACCCATTTGAATTATATACAAACTTTGTGCTTTGGAATTATCATGTTATGATTCTTTTTAATAATTCCTTCTCTCACAATATTATATTCGTTCTTAGCAGAAACCGGAGGTTTTTCCTCTGGTGAGAAGGCAGAATTGCCTGTGCCCTAAACGAATTCAAATAAAAGAAAGAAGAAAAGAAAGAAAAAAAACCTACTCAAGTCCACCTGATGAGGGTTGAATTCCCCGAAATACTGTGTATCCAGCAGGGAGTGGTGCTTTCTTGCAGGCTTGCTGAGTAGAAGGTTCGAAGTTCTCGTGTGCTCTGGATGGCAGTCGTGAGTCAGTCAAGTGAGAATTCAAGTCAGCAGGAAAAACGCGAGCTCCCACGTAGGGAGCAACACACAATTCCAAGTATCGCCGAAGTCGCACCGACGTCTTCTTCTTGTGAAAGAATGTTGGGGCAAGAAGTAATAATATTATTATGTACTTTGTAGGATACTAAACACACTCTCCAGTTCCCCCTTTTCTTTTCTTTTTCTTTTTACAAAGAACACAAACCCGGCTCGAGACAAAAAAATAAGAACAAGAAAGATAAAAAATTTGCATGCAGGGAGAACGAAAAATCGTCTAGAACACAGAAGTTGAGGGTTGACAGAACAAACAACTATTGAGTCGGGTCTGACTGCTAGTATCCACTAGTGCAGCTGCGTAGGTGGGGCGTTGTGGACTCCTCCGACAAAAGGTCTCGGTATCCCTGCACACAACGCGCACTTGCAGCTGTGTAGGTGAGGTGAGACTCCTCCGACCAGAGGTCTCGGTATCCTTGCACACGACGTGCACGGGGGGGGGGGGGGGGGGGGGTTAAAAAAAGAAAGAAGAAAGAGTTAGGCCATCAGGTAGCATGCTAGTCTGTGGTGTACACGTCGACAGCAGTCCCACAAGTTTCTCGAGGAGGTAAGCTGCAATACTATGGAATTGCCTACCGCCTTCTCTTACCTCTGTAACCAGCCTCCCCGAATTCAAGCATTCTCTCTATCAGCATTTTCGCCGATATATTCATAGCACTGACGGTATCCCAACTTCTTTTAAAATTACCAGATTTTGTATGCCTCGATCTATTTCCTTAGCCTATCCTCGATTAACTGCTCCCTCCACATAAAGTTGTTATTTCATTCTTCTTGCAGGAGATCCCCTCGACAGGCCCAAAGCCTTTGGGAAATCCTTAAATATAATACAATGCAAAAAAATTACAATACTTGTACACTGCTACTTTGAAGCGTTGCAGCGCTGCCTTGGATGGGGGAGCGTTCAGGATGGCAGAGGGTACAGCATTCCATGTTGTGAGTGGGCCGAACAAGAAGGAGCGGTGTAGGATGTCAAGACTTGTTGCGGGGAGGGGTGACAACTGGACGGCATGGGAGTGTTTCACTTGATGTTGGTGGCGGGTTCTGGGGCGGGCGGGCTCAGGGGCAGCAGGTGGCAGCATGTCTGTCAGATGGGCCGGACCGGAAATGAACAGGTAGTGCAGTCCCGAGACTTGCCGATGCACTGATAAGCTTGGGAGCATGGTTCCAGCGCCAATGCTGCGCATGGACCGCTGCTGGATGCGGTCAAGCTTCGCGAGGTTGGACCGGGCTGTGCCTTGCCAGACTAGGGGAGAGCATATTCCATGGTTGGGCGGATGAGGCCTTTGTATACGCTGAGGCGGCCGTTGCGGTGGAGTTCTGGGCACACTTTCCTGAAGAAGCCAAGGCGCTGGCTGGCTCTGACTGCAACCTGGTGGAAATGGCTGCGGAACCACAGTTTGCGGTCGAAGGTCACACCGAGAAGCTTAACATAGGTTTCCTCTTTGATCACGGTGCCATCAAAGCTTAGAGAAGAGGGTGGGAGGGGTGTTGATCGTCTGCTCATCGACATTCCCTGGCACTTTGTCGGCTCAAACTGGACCTTCCATGTCGATCCCCAAGCTTGGAGCTCATCGAGGGAGGCTTGCAGTGAATTAAAAGTGGCGGGGGACACGTCATCGGCACGGATCAGGCAGTACAGTATTGTGTCGTCTGCATACGACGCTAGCTGGCATTCTGGGGAGACACAGTCAGATATGTCGTTGACATAAATAAGGAAGAGCATTGGTCCTAAGATGCTGCCTTGCGGCACACCGGCTTGGTTTGGGAAGTGCGAGGAGGTCTGACCACCAACAATAGCCCTTATCTTCCTTTCCTGAAGGTACGAGCGAAGCGAAGACAGAATTGACCCGCCATTGCCGGACATTTCAGCTTTATGCAGTATGCCAGTGTGAGAAACTTTATTCCTTGGGGAATAAGACAAGAAATGAATAGGTGGAAAGCCTAAAGAAAACGTGACTATCAGTCTACGCAATGACCTTCGCAGTAGGCAAGCTATACTGGCTAAGTCATTTTTTTGTATCAGAAATCTGTTTTCTGCGTTACGGCGGACTTATAATACGCTGATTTGATATTATGAAGCATACTACTACTACTACTACTACTACTACTACTACTACTACTACTACTACTACTACTACTACTACTACTACTACTACTACTACTACTACTACTACTACTACTACTACTACTACTACTACTACTACTACTACTACTACTACTACTACTACTACTACTACTACTACTACTACTACTACTACTACTACTACTACTACTACTACTACTACTACTACTACTACTACTACTACTACTACTACTACTACTACTACTACTACTACTACTACTACTACTACTACTACTACTACTACTACTACTACTACTACTACTACTACTACTACTACTACTACTACTACTACTACTACTACTACTACTACTACTACTACTACTACTACTACTACTACTACTACTACTACTACTACTACTACTACTACTACTACTACTACTACTACTACTACTACTACTACTACTACTACTACTACTACTACTACTACTACTACTACTACTACTACTACTACTACTACTACTACTACTACTACTACTACTACTACTACTACTACTACTACTACTACTACTACTACTACTACTACTACTACTACTACTGCTACTACTACTACTACTATTATGCAGTTCTGTAACCTTCTTTGTCCTTCCTCTTCTCATACTAATACTATCAGAAAAGGAAGGACAAAGAAGGTTACAGACCTCCAGTTACGCGTTTCACCATAATTATGAAGGTGAAAAGCGAAACCCTGATTCGTAACACAGCTTCCTCTCTCTGTCTGTCTCTGACTCTGACGCTGTCTCTCTTCCTCCCTCTCTCTCTCTCTCTCTCTCTCTCTCTCGCTCACTCTCTCTTGCTCTCTCTCTCGCTCTCTTCCTCTCTCTCTTTCACTCTCACTCTCCCCCCTCTCTCTCTCTCTCTCTCTCTCTCTCTCTCTCTCTCTCTCTCTCTCTCAGCCAGCAGGGCAGGGAAAAAAGAATAATAATAAAACATTTTCTGTTTGCGTGTAACTCAGATCGAGTTTCCCTAATCCGCGGGACTTCCACTACCGACAAGGACCAAGGGAGTGGAGGCACTGTGGAATGATCTGAAAACAGACGCTACCAGGTTCAAGCCCTGCTTGAAAAATGGAAGGAGTTTCCTACGGTGCTGCGGCCGCCAGTTGATTGGGAACTCATGGCCTGGTACAACAGTAACATGGATGCACGAATGGAACATTCCGTCTTTGACCACTTTGTGGCCGATCGCATTATACTCAAGTCTTACCTGTTTAGGAACTGTATTTGCGCCTTCATCCCTTAATCCTTGAGGAAGATATAAAGGCAGGATATATCAGGTATACACAGAGGCAATATGCTTTGGTTCTGCAAGAGTGCTCAATGCCTGATTCAGGCAGAGCGGCGTACACAAAGGCACACAATGAAAACCTTGGCAAATTTATTCCGTTGTCGGAGTCACAACGGAATAAATTTGCCAAGGTTTTCATTGTGTGCCTTTGTATATCAGGTATAGAAACGTCGCACAACATCTCCGCCTGACGTCATTTGTCCTGAAGGTATAGCATAGGCAAATACACGCAGGCAGAAGAGAACAGAACAACAATGACCCAGCCGGCCGTCTCTGTTCTCTTCTGCCTGCGTGATAATGCTCCATCCTTGTGGTGTTGAGCACTCTAGGTAATCTGGGAACTCTCGCTAAATTAATGTGTATTGGCAAGTACATGTACTGTGCATGTTGGACCGTCAAAACAAGATCAACGAAAACCGACTGGGAGTCTCAACAAACATACTCCTTTCCCTCACTGTAAGTACATGTACTAGAAGTTTAATCTGGTGTACAGTGGGACCTCACACGGACGAGTATACAGGAGTCGCAAACACGCACACGCCACTATGAGTAAAATAATCGCAATCATGGCTATGATTATCACCATGCATAATTATTAAAGTGGATGCGTAACCTGTATGGCAGCTACATTGCACCTCACAATTTGTATTTGCTTCAACACTGAGAGTCTATCTAGTGCAGCTAGCATGCGTATCGTGCCGCTTGTCTGCTGGGATTTGACAGCGTGTACGCCGGAGTGTATCGGCAATGACCTGTGAATAGTGCGATCGTTGACACAACACTCATCAGCGCTGCTCTGGGCTCTGCTTTCACAGGCATGTCCCGCGCAACGTCAGCCAAGAAAAAATGTGCAGTCCAAAGTAAGCTTGGAACAGTGTAGGGCTGGCACCGCTCCGTGCAGAGGTGCACAGTTTCACGCCGCTGTCGCAACCTAATGTACATTGTACTGGTGCGACGCTTTGAGGCACGACCTGGCGCCAGTTGGCAGCATGCTTTTAGGCACAAACAGCGTTTTGCTTGCGCGGTAAAACTCTAGACCATAGGATCGACCACCCGCCGACAACTAGTTTTGCCTCATTGGAACAAATGACTATTTGTCTGTGCGCGTGTGTTCGGGAGGTTTGTGCCAGCCAGGTGATGGCGGATCCCTTTCGCGCCTCAGGTACTGGGACATAACCTGCGATATCATTGAGAGCGTTAACGCATACTATTATGGCCGCAGCACGCAAAAGCATCTAGAGCACGAACGATTGCAAACATTCCACCCTGCAGGCAAAGAAGTCATCATGGCACGCAGTCGCTCCCAGGTTTGCCAGGACTACCATAACGGAGACGTGAAGACAACTAAAGTCAAACGTGTTGCTCTGCTGAGGGTGTGTGTCGACTTCTTGACATCTGCTGTGATCTGTCGGGAAGTGAACGGTTTGAAGTGATTATTACTGTGCAGTGCGTTTTCTCGCCAAGTCCGAAAGCAAAGGTGTTCCTCTGACCTTGCAAGTCTAACAATTTCCTTTCTCTAAAGCTAGAAAAGTTTGATCTTCACTTAGTGTGACCTAATTGATTACTGTGGGCAGAGGTTTACATCCACGCCCTCAGCTGGTACAAAGGCTACAGGACAAAAGGCCCTAGCAAGCACCCAAAGTCAAGCCCACAGTTCGGAGGAGTGAACACACCGCGCTGCCAAGAGAGTACTACAGCGTCCTCGTCAGAAAGGAAGAGAGTTCTCTCACTTCAAGCGCAGTGTGAATTAGTCTTTCCGTCAGCAGTGCTTGAAAGACCAGCGCCAGTGCAGATTCCATTGGCGTAACTAAGGCTACTCCTGTGGAAAAGATTTAAAGGTTACCCATCTGACATGTTATGCGAAATATTGCAACCGTATCAGAAGGATTATCCGAATCACAAGAGCTGCTTTCCAGACCACGACTAGTTCTTCTAAACCAAGCCATCACTTGACGAGGAAGGTGAGTGAGAAACACACAATAATTATAATTATTGTTCAACGTGCCTGACCAAACATGAACATATTAAGCAGGTTGAGCGAACATCTGATCGACTGTGTTTGATCCGGTACCTATTGCGAGGTTTCATGTTAAAGCAGTGTACAATTGACTCCAGAATATATCAATTTAATTAAAGTGCACAGCACCTATCAAAAGTTAAGGTCCAATAAAAATGTGACGGTCTTTCCTGTGAACGGACAACGCTGTAGAGATTTCCACACGTCTTGCAATAAAAATAATAACGACTACTACCGGTACTACAAATTTGGATTCGGATTTTTGTCGCGCTCGATGACTGTATAATTTCATGTATGGTCTGGTTACGTTGGTGGCCAAGTTAGTCAAAACTCGAAACACGTTGTCCTTTCCTTTAATCCATGACTACTACTACTACTACTAAGTACTAATACTACTACTACTAAGTACTAATACTACTACTACTAAGTACTAATACTACTGTCACATAATAGGAACAGAAAAACTACATTGTGCAAATTTCAAACTCTTCACCGCCATCAACAACGAGGAATAAGTTTTCAGACATTCCCTTCAATTAGAATACAATCAACAGTTACTATAGCCTACATGTAGATGTACATGTACATGTATGACACGTTTGGGTAAAACACAACAACACACGAGTGGCAACCATTACAACCACTGCGACTGCTAGACTGTGGTGTGTGGAGTGTGGCGTCCATATTAGACTAGAGAGTGTAGAGAGTGTAAGCTTCGTCCCACCTGGCATCAGAGAACTCTCAACATTCTCGTGAGGCAAAGAACGAATGGTAGTGGTTACTGACAAGCTCTGCCTATCTGGTAGTCTGTGGGGTAGTGCACTTCATGTAAAGGTACGTACCATGTACCAGCTCTTGAGAAAAGAAGGACGTATGTACACGTGTGACTACAGTGTTACACTTGAGGGTTTGATGTCAGGCAGAGTACCCCGGGTGACAACTAACGATTAGTTTGAGTGGAGTAGTGCTTGTTCTCTTAGCCCGGTTTTCTCACTTGCCTGCGTACGCAAGAGGGCATGTAGGACTAGTAAACGAACACAGTATGACACCATATCCGCCAGATATGTGTCTATTACATCTTTTGCATAACATAGGTAGTTCAATGTTAGTTGAACGCACACATTCGCATACTCACATCATGGTATACCAACTCTTCAGCATTCCATTTCGCCTGATGAATCCATGCACCTTTCTCAACTGGACCATCCAAGCACATGCGCATGTACACGTATCAGCTGACTCCCCGACCACAGACCTGGGTTGTGCGAGAGTACACGCCATCAATGTCAATGCTGTTCACAGCGAGATCGCAGTTGGGCGCCTCGCCAAGGTTTCCATAACCTTGAGAATGAAGGATGCTTACGCTCGCCTACATTGACACCTACAAAATTAATATACAGTGCTGCTCGATGAAATCCGATCGTGTGAGTCCAGTTTGCGACCTGCACCAGTTTTAGAACACAGTCTTCGCAGGCCAAGGCTACTTATACAGCCCCTGGCGTGTACTTGATTGGATTTCACTGAGCAGGCCTATGCAACCATTATACCTGGCACTGCGAGGTTTCCTGACCAACCCGACTTTGAAGGAAACGCTAACGCTAAGCATTTTCCCACTTCACTGTTAGTCAAGTGACCTCCGTGGGAGTTGATCTTCACACTTCAATTTTTGGTCGATGGAATGCGACATTACAGCACTGATTTGATGTGATGGACTTGTTGTGTTGGAAGCGATGTCATCGCTCCGAAGAGGCGGTCAACTGTGGTCAACTGTGACGCACTTTGAAGATTGTACGCTCCCGATCTGCTTGTACCGTAAGAAAAGGAAACAAAATTGTCAAAATAATTTAATATTCATCAGTTTTAGGAAAGGAAGCACTGGGGGGCGCTGAATTCCGCTTAATTAAAACAACCCGTGAGTGAAGCATTGTCTGTCCTTTCCTGTTCAGGGTGCTTTGTTGCGTCTATCACAACTCAAGTTAGCTGACGTCTTTCTGTGGTAGACCCTCTTACCATGTCGCTGACAATGGACACCAATATGAGTAGATCCGCACTCACCAGACCTTTCCTGGGCATGGTAGTGCAGCGGCTGCTGGTGTTGCTCCTAATAACCATCTCCTGTTCCCGTGGCTCTCAGGCATCTTCCGTCTCGTCCGGTGAGTTTCGCCAAGTGCTCCGATATTTCATGTGTTGCATGTTTAGATCAAATACACAAACCGGCATTCGTAAGGTTGAGGGAGTTAAAAATGGGAAAGTCTTAAAAAAAGAAAGATCGGTACTAGCAGAAGTATGGCCAGCGATGCCCTCCCACTAACCTCTGGTGTAGTCGACTCTTCAGCCAAACAGCGACCATTCAGCATTCTCTTCAGACTTCGAAAACTGGTCTTAGAATCTAGAAAATGATGGTAGACTCCTATATTACGTTCGTCGCACTGATGTGTAGGAATAGTAGTATTGTGGTCGTATTGATTGATTTGAATTTGGTATCTCAACAGTTCAACGTACAATGACAATACATTATTAATGCGATTAATAGTATAAGTGAAGCGGACATTACAAAATGATGAATGAGAATGACGATTTTCCCTGATGATAGTCTCAAGAAAATCGATTAGGAACAACCATTTTAGATACATGTATTCTCATTCATCATTTTGTAATGTCCGCTTCACTTATACTATTAATCGCATTAATAAAGTTATTGTCTCCTCGTCGCCTTTTCAATGACAATACAGTACACATAAGAAAAAAAGTGGGATATGAATGTACTGTTATTTGTGCTACAGGTTATCAACTTATCGCAATTTTATCTCGATATGCAAGTAAAGTGATTGAAGCGAGAGAGCATCGTGGAAATTTTGTGCTCCTGCAGGCTGGGACCCTTTTGAACCGGAAAATAGCATTTTAGAAATGTTCACTAGTTGAGGAAATGGAAAAAAGAGGTTTGAGAATTGAGTAAGGCCGCCGTCACACCGAGCCCGATTCAGCCATTCAGCCAAAACAGCGCTTTTTTCGGCTGAGGTTTCCACGGAAACGGCTGAAAATCGGGGCACAAGCCACTTTCAGCTTTCAGCCCTGTTGGAAGCGCTGAAAAGCTGAAAGTGGCTGAATTGTTTTGGCTGAAGTGCAAGGGTGCACGAGGAGTTGAAGAACTTGAGCTGACGTTTGTTGTAGTCAGGTAGTTTCTTCTTCTCTTGTATTGTACCGTAGTTGTGTGAAGTGTTTGAAGGTTTTCGTTGTCAGCCATGGATAGTTGGAGCGTGGGACTGGAGCACCGATTGCTCGAGCCGTGGTACGAAACAAAAACGCGATATCAGACGACAATAGGGAGGTTTAGTCCCACGTAATCCGAGGGTACTTTACGTGTGTGTACCACGTGATACTCAGTGACCCACGTACAGACGTTTTCTGATTCACGACATACCGTGTATGGAGGCTCACCCACGTTCCGCCAAAACGTGGGTGAAAATCAGAATGGAGCGCATTGTGCGAGCTGTGAGGGTGCTCAGCTGAAGAAGTTTCCGAAGCACGAAATCAAAATATTGGATGAGCTTCTTAGGCCCGGGTAGCTTCGTCTTTGACCAGGTTTGGGCCTTTCGCTTTATGCTTTTGTTTGTTCCGTGTAACTAAACACAACATTGCAACGTGGGTGCCCTTCATCCACTTTACGTGGATCACCCACGTACGCGTTTTCGTTACGTGGGAACTAAACCTCCCTAATGAAAAAGGATACGAGCAAACGAGCTTGGATATTTGCAGAACTGAAAACGTTTGCTGCGAATGAAAGCGGGGCGCCGTCGTCATCAACAAAGTCGAAAACGTGTCGCTTCCTCCGGCGACAAAGCCTGGTATTAATGTTTGTCACCATCGGCAAAGTGAGGTGATTCTCAGGGGAAATTATTCGGATCATCACCATTGTACATAATAAAATACAGAATGATAGCGATGCGGCTCTTCGTTTCCGAATCCATTCTCAATCCACTGTGACAAATCGCTCTTCTCTCTCTCTACTCCTCTCTCTTTCTATCTCTTTTCCAGATCCCTACTTCTCCTTCCATCCACAAAAAGGCCCACGTGGAGATTCAAAATTAGGACGTAGTGCGCGCGCAAATCACGTACATGTATACCGGGTACAGGGTCATCCTCCAAACAAAAAAATGGGAAAACCCGCGTCAGCCAGTTTTGGTGTGACCGTCAGCTGGCTAGTCGCAAGCCACTTTCAGCGCAAGCCCAAAACGGCTGAACTTGGTGAGACCGCGGCCTAAGGGCATTTCGTACTGCAGTGTCCTTTTTGAGTTTGGGCATTTCGACCATCCATACTCTTTTGGGTGGTACCTACATTGTACATGTACATTATGCATCTATGGATATTTTACCATGTTTTCTTCCTTTCCTACAGGCTGCGATGCGGGCTGGACAGCGCATGGTCAAAGCTGTTACACTGCACTGCCACACACTGAGCGACTGTACAACTTCTGGAAAGCACGTAACCTTTGTAACACTTGGAGAGCGGAGCTGGCGGAGCTCAGAAGCGAAGAGGTACATGTAGGTGCATGACTGTGCATGCACATGTACATCATGATGATCGTAGTCGTCTTGTTGATAACGTGTTACGTGCAATGTACAGTGTAGATAGGATGTCATTATACAGTCATGTACGTAGGCAGGTTCATGTACGCAGGTTTTGTTTTCATAGGATTCAGTCTGATCATTTTTTAACCCTTCCAAATGAAACACATGTCTGACTTGAGCGGAGACGTCAGGTCGGAGTGGCAGAGCAGGGCCGTCGATGGACGGCAGTGGGCACTGATTTGAGAGGCCCTGATTTCAATCCCCAGTAGTTTGCACCGTAGCATGCGTCAGCTGACTTGTTTCGGTCCAAATAACTTATAAATGTACAATTTGAATCAAATCTAACTACAAAACGTTACTCCGGCATGCTGAACCTTTTTTAAAGAAAATAATATGCGCGCATGTGAAGGAAGGGAAAAAAATATGTCTGGAGATGTAAGCGAGTGCAGCATAGATCAGTGGTCAAATGCTACACCCCACGAGGCTACTAGAGTGGGAGCGTAATAGCTCGAGTCATAGTGCTACACACTCGTTTAACGTGTTGTTAGACCCCCACTGCGGCAATATAGGGAACGCAAGGGCTAGGGGCGCACGTTTGCAATTAGATTCCGAGTCCGAGTCCGAGTGCGCTGGCCTTCTCAGATCGATTTTTCGGGCATGCGTTCGAAAAGCCTGAAAGTCACACAATACAAGCCCTGGTTGATCGGATTGGCAGTCACTCTCTGGAGTGTATTGGCTGGTGGCTCATTCTGGTTCTCTCTCTAGTCCTGAAACAATGTACACTACACAGCCTGCACATCAATTTTTACTGCTGGCTGCTCGGAAACTGCTGATTTCGGTGGTGAAAGCATGAACGAGTGCTTCGAAATATCGAACGAATAGTCGAATATTCTGGTTGATTCAAATGTGGCTCGCATACCGAGCAGATAAAAAATATAATAAAAATAGAAGCAATCACATGGAAACGAGTTATGAAGCAATTAGCTATCGACTTGAACCTTCCAAGATGGAAGGCTGTAGGTTTGCGCACTTAAGCTGAGGTGTATGAGAACTAGGTCTCAGGTCGTTGGATGTCTCAGTATCATGTCAGTTTTGGGCCCTGTTATCACACTTTCTGACTGCTTGCTTATTATCTTGTTACAGTCGTGGATGGTTGCTTCATAACTCGTTTCCATGCGATTTCTTCTAATTTAATTCTGGATGATAATAGTTATTTGTTTTTCAACTAATGAAAGCCTTACTATCGTTCTGGTTCCATTCTTATGGAATTTGTCTGTATCTCAGAACCATCAATATCTGAAAAGCACATTTCACGGGGTGGACACCTGGATAGGCCTTACGAGCATCCTTACTCCGAAACGGTAAGTGTTAGGCCTTTGTACACCGTGAACACTCTCAAGATGGTGGCTGATGTGATATTGAGTCGCGTGATAACACATACAGTGTCACACATTTAGTGCGAGATTAGATAACATTGATATTACCGGTATCACTTATGTAGAAGTCATCTGGCATTGTGTTCAGTTTATCATACATATTATTTGGTCAAGCATTGGAAAAATAAATAGTTCAGACTCCGATCAGGACCCAACAGTGGCTAAGAGCCTAAAGTGTGTGTTTACTCCTTAGTAACATTGCATTTTTGTCTACGAGGAAACTGTTCAATTGTACACGGATTTATCATTTAGCATGGTAAACCAGTGCAAGGTACGTCACATCAAAACCTTTGAAAATTAATCGAATCCCTGAAAACCGGACACTGGTCGTTAATTTGCGAATAAATTAAATTAAACTAGTTTTGCAGTGCAAAGTATTATTAAAGTAATTGGCACTGCACCTTCCACAACCTGTTCTCGTGACTTTAACAGTGGAAAGAGCTAGGGCAAAGTTTCCATGGATAATAATCACGAGGAAACGCGTTGGAAGATAGATGTCCACTTTAAAACTTTACTTCGCATTCTTCAAAACACATCAACAGCGTTGTTCATTGCGATTTTACAAACGTATTAGATTACACAAAAGGTATGATCATGTTCTGTTTTTATAATGTTACTTGCAGCGGTCCGTATTGGTTATATGGTGAACGCAGCTTAATGGGATCGCCCTACCAACCGTACATCGAGACCAAGTTCTACCAATCCTGGCTGGGTCACACTTGCTTTCACATGAACGCCTCCGGTACTGTGGTCACGGATAGTTGTCATACCCGCCACACCACCGCCATTTGCCAAAGACCTCGCAAGGGTAAGACTGGCTCTAGAAAAATCCCTCGACTGCAAATCAAGCATATTGCGTGATTCGTGATTCGTGTTGCCATCATCCACAGCTCGTCACTCGCTTTTCACATCTCACCTTTCCCTCCCGTTCCTTTTTTTCTCACCGAAGCTGGCTCATAAAACCTAACGAAAGTACGGCAGTGGTTGGTATCCTGCGCTCCACAAATATCAGCCACTAAAGATGGAAGATTGGCAGGCCAGAACTAGGGCATGTGACCTGTTAAATAGTTGCACTCTCCGGGACAACTGACTTAATTTAATAATGCTTCCTCATCGTTTTTCTGTTTCTTTCTCCAGTTATGCCAACATGTTCACCATGTAAGGTGAAGAGAGGCAGTGACGTTGAAAGGCGACTGCTAAACAAGGCATTATGTCAAGATTTTGGTAAGACCGGGGATGGAGTTATCTTGTATAATTGTGGGCAGAATTTAAAATTGCATTGAACTGAGGTTAGGTATTCTATATTGTGAGAGGAGTTAGTTGAGGAATTAAATAAAAGTATACCATGTGCCTTTCGGTGCCTTTCTTGGGCCTGCGTCCGTTTATGCGAGCACGTATGTGGGCGGACTGTATGTATCTAATATTGACTGAGTACGAGGTCGATATAGGAAATAAAAGCCGAGGTCTTTTACGAGGTTTTTATTTCCTATACTGACCAAGTACGAAGTCAATATTAGATTTATCACGACAAACAGTCCGTATTTCAAATTCCAGAACGATAACCTGATGAATCCCGGTTTTATGATTGCACAACCGTTGCACCACCACCTACTCATGCAGTGACAATGCTGCACTAGGCACCGTTCAACTGCGCAACCCCTAAGCAGTCAAATATAAGCAGTCAATATAGCCCTAAGGAGTGAAATATGCAGGAATATTTGACTGCTTAGGTATGGCAAAAATCTATGTGAGTCAATACTAAGGGAGTGATAAATATATATATGTGTGTGTGTGTGTGTGTGTGTGTGTGTGTGTGTGTGTGTGTGTGTGTGTGTGTGTGTGTGTGTGTGTGTGTGTGTTGAATGGTGTAATCCTAGCACAAGTTGCTATGTCTAACATAGCTGTTCGCTATCATCGCTTCCGCGATGGGCATGTCTGAGTCTGAGTGTGTGTGTGTGTGTGTGTGTGTGTGTGTGTGTGTGTGTGTGTGTGCATGTGTATGTTTGACATGTGCATTTGTAGATAGTGCGTATTGTAATTATTTCCTGTGAATACATCTGCGTATATTTGGGAATAATTTTAATGCGTATGTGTTTGCGTGAATGTGTGTGTGTGTATGTGTGTGTGTGGCTGTGTGTGTATGTGTGTGTGAATGTGGCCTTGTCTTTCGCTCTGTGCACAATTCCAGCTGTTGTAGGATGGGTGACTGGTGAGAGCCTTGGTCATTACCATGTAGCCCTGTTGGCCATCTGCTCCCGTAATTCTGCCGCTGATCGCGTGCTCTCACGCTTCCAGACACGCGCTACACTGGGCTCGCGTTGTGCCGGAGTAGTCCCAGGAGCCAGAGCCAGTGTGATAAACGTGCAGAAGCCGCTGCCAGCGAGAGCGGCGCAGTGTCCGCCACCGTGTGGCCTCCGGCTGAAGAAAGGCAAGCGGTACCTTTTAGCCGGCTCTGTTCACAGCTTCACCAGCGAGTTTCAAATCAACACCGGCGTGGCGTTGCGCTGGCGACGTGTGAAGAACCTGGCAAGATCGAGTAGAGTGAACGCAACATGCTATCAATGAGACCAACTTGGAGATATCTTGCTTGGCGAGTTCTTTGCATTTGTTTGGACAAGCTGTTGAGGCAATGTATAGTGAGACGAGTTGGACCTGATACAACATGCTGCTGCAGTTGATCGACGACATACGAGGTACATAGTCACACATACATGAACATAATTTCGTTCTACTTGTCAAGTACATTTCTGTTCAAACAGAACCATCCCTGGTACCCTACTACGGTACACCATGCACAGAGCTTGAGGACCTCACAAAAAGTCAGAACTTTTATTCAATCTATTTTAAATGTTTTTTTAATGTTCGCTGATGACAATCTGAACTGTCCACCTCTGCTGACGAAACCTAACGGTGTCTAAACAGCTAGCTGGACGAAGGTGGAGTGGCTCAGCTATAATCATGATTACGTGGCTTTTAGATAAACATGAACGTAATGGTGAATGCGAATAGCATGACATTCTAAAACCCGCTATGATCCGTCTCCAGTCACATTTTGTCCATTTTGGAAATCTTCCTCGAAATCCCAGTGCAATGTACGTCAGTACTCTGGACGTGACATACCATTTTGAATATGCATTGTTCCGTTCTAGTCGAGAGGCTTTTTCTTTACATTGAAAGAGACATTCTCATCAGTATTGTATTGCTTTTATTTTACATGGCAAGTCAAACGGGCAATCATGCCCAATGTTAGGATGACGATGGAAAGGGAGAAAAGATTTAAAAGAACAAGATTAGTTTTCCTGGATTATGGTGAGTGAAGAATCTTGTATCTAAATTGGGAAACTTCAATAATATAATGCGCTATTCGACTGAATTAGGTCCGCGTTTCTTTGGCATGAGATAAGATACACTCATATCTCGGTTATCCGAACCCCGAAGTTACGGACAGTGCCCTGTCCAGGACCGCCAGGACGAGAGAGCTTCGAAGCTCAGGGCCCTACGCCATGCTTTTTTGCCTTGATGACCTAGACAAAAAAAAAGCATGGGGATGTTATAAATTCTTTAAAAAATCCTTTTTTTTTAAGACATAACCTGGGATTCGAACCCGCACTATCTCGCGCCCTGCATGCATCCCCGATACACTTCGCATACATACTAATTCTTCCAAGTTGTTTCACATTGTGATTTTGCATTTGAAAGCCCTATTTGAATATGCATTGTGGCCAGCCGTCTTTGATGGCACGGTACGGTAGGGGATAGGTACGGGACAGGTACGATCGAGGATAATACGACAACGTCTCCCGTACCGTACCGTACCATCAAACACAGCTGGCCACATACAGCTGCCCGCAATATTTAAATAGGGCTTTCAAACGCAAGATAATAACGTGAAGCAACTTGGAAGAATGGGTATGAATGCGAAGTGTATGGGGAATGCATGTAGGGCGATAGTGCGGGTTCGAATCCCAGAATTTGCCTGAACAAAATAGGAAAAATCGAAAAATTTATAACATCCTATGATTTTTTGCCGTCAGATACGGATAGCGCCAGGCGTGACACAAACAAACAAACAAACACACAAACAAACAAATACCAAATTAAAGCTGTGTGGACCCTGGCTAGCGCCAGACGTTACTGAAGTAACGTCTTCTGCATAGCTACGGGAATAAATGAGGTACGAGTGTACGTGTCTGCTGGAGGATTCTGTGTAGCAGTTATTTGACACGTGAACAGAGTGTTGGCAAGTGAAGAAGAAGTCAAGTACTGTATTGTACTGTGTTTGCCAGGCATGGAGTGCGGCTGCAGCTGTGTATCTATGATAAGATGGACCTCATGGTCGACCAGCAAAGTAGTGGCAGGTGGTCCTTAGTAGAGTTAGCCTCTTTTATGGGCAAATTAACACAATGGTTAAAATGCAATAAATCATAAATCATACACTGGAGAAGAAATCAGAACAATGCATGTGTAAAAAGGACCTATTGGTGGGCAGGCTAATGTGCATGTACTTAGTATCCGATAAACATAATTATAATCCCAACTGCCTCCAGTAAGGAGTGTAATTATTCCTGTGTTCTGGACAGAGGTCATACTAAGCAAGAGTATCTCTTATCGAAGTACATGTACATACAAAGCGAGCTCCAGTATGAACGGCTATGACGAGGGTACAATGGGATGCAGATCCACCTCCGTGGTTGGGTTCACCCTCTCCTCAATTCAATTAGCTGTTCATGATCATCTCGTTGGCTACTCGCTTGCACTGCAATGTGTAGAGGGCTGTTTGCTGCCTTGCCCATTCCACCCTTACCTTACCTGCCGACACCAACAATACTTGTCCCATACAGGTACATACACACACAGACACACACACACACACACACACACACACACACACACACACGCACGCACGCACACACACACACACACACACACACACACACACACACACACACACACACACACACACACACACACACTTGTACTTGTACTTGCTCACTGCCAAAACTGGTCACGTGGGTCTCCCCCGGGAGAGGGGAGAGAGACTCAAAAGGAATCTTGGAAAGATGACTCAATTGGCCATTGAACCACCCAACGGCCGACACCCCCTGAAATCCCCAAACTAGGGTGGATTTGAAATGATCCCACTTATGGGCTCACCACACCTCAGTAAGTGGGTGAGGACAAGGTGCAGAAAAAGGATTGACGGCATCAGGGTATCCGTCCCGGGATCCAACTGCAGTTACTCCTGCCCCCAGTGAAGGTAATATTTGCTACTAGTGTGAGTGGCTAAATCAGAGTGGATCTGATAAAAGCTTCACTAGCACCATTGATTACACAAGAGTTAATCTAGCCAGAAGCAGTCCATGGTTAACAGGTATGTATACTTCAAATAGAAAGTATATGAACCCTGGAACCAACAAAGGTGGCAGGTAGAACATTACACCTTCAAGCAGCCGAGCCTGTCGGCAACAGACCCAACACAATCAGGCATAAGTGTACCTACCAACCGAACTAGCTGGCACAGCACACACACACACACACACACACACACACACACACACACACACACACACACACACACACACACACACACACACACACATACACACACACACACACACACACACACACACACACACACACACACACACACACACACACACACACCTTGGACCTTGGACGCGCTGCCATATTCTGGCTATGCGGACCCCATGGGGGGTTGAGCAGGTTCGGAACAGTAGGGGCGATGACGGGATAGGTCCTGTGGTCTACTGAAACGCCGACCGCACACACACACACACACACACACCCGTACGCTCTTTCTCTCCCTCTCTCTCTTTCTCTTTCTCTTTCTCTCTCTCTCTCTCTCTCTCTCTCTCTCTCTCTCTCTTTCTCTCTCTACATATTTCTCTCTCTCTTTCTCTTTCTCTCTCTCTCTCTTTCTCTCTCTCTCACACTCTCTCTCTCTCTCTCTCTCTCTCTCTCTCCCTCTGTCTGTCTGTCTGTCTGTCTGTCTGTCTGTCTGTCTGTCTGTCTGTCTCTCTCCCTCTCTCTCTCTCTCTCTCTCTCTCTCTCCCTCTGTCTGTCTGTCTGTCTGTCTATCTCTCTGTCTGTCTGTCTGTCTCTCTCTCTCTCTCTCTCTCTCTCTCTCTCTCTCTCTCTCTCGCTCTCTCTCTCTCTCTCTCTTCCTCTGTCTCTGTCTCTCTCAATCTCTCTCTCTCTCTCTCTCAATCTCTCTCTCTCCTTCTCCCTCCCTCTCTCTCTCTTAGAAATATCTTCTCATAGAAAAGAAAAAGGACCAAGGAACTATAAGTTACGCTATAATGTCAACTAACACCACCAGTTTCTAAACAATCAGCTCATTCGATAACATTGCACGAAACTGAATCCATGAGCCCATTTTTGCACACCTTTCATTGATCTTCGCATCTTAGAGACACACACGTGATGTGGATTATTGCTTTCGATTCTGGAATCGTGGTGTTCCCGTATCGTCATCGACATACATGAACATCCGCCAACGTCCTTCACAGCTAAGACGTTCAGCTCGTGCGTATCTTGGTTGGGCTCATGTTCTCCTCTTATGTTATCATATAACTTAGAACCTTCCAAGTTGGAATGTTGTTGGAGTGCGCATCCAATATCTGCTAGAGCTGTTAGGCAGTTAGTTGTAGGACGTCAGTACCGTCCGTCCGTGTCGTGCAATTCTATCGCACAAGCGCGTTGTTTAGTAGCTGGTGGTGTTAGTGGACATTATAGCGTAACTTGTAGGTCCTTGGTCCTTTTCATCTCTAAATTTATGCTTGGATCTCCATCCGAGTCCATATTTAAAAGCCCGAACATCAATACGACTCGCACACTCAGAATCAAATTGCACTTGAACGACAACCCTATTTGGGCTAAAGGGACTACCCAACTGCTAGCCTAGAACCGCGTTCTTAACACCAGGCAATTGGCAGCTGGCGCTCTTCCTGCGTTCTTGCGTCCTCTTCCCACGATGTTGGTATGTCATTTGCTGAGTAAAAATGCGTCAACACGATGTACGCGTCTGTCGCAATCAGGTACGTCAAATAGACAAGTAAAGGATATGTGGAGATGGATGACGATGCGAGGTCATGACCTACAGCACGCATAGAACCACGCTTTGATGCTGTGGGAGGCCGCTATCCCGATAACTCTCGTCCGACGCGAACAAATCTACTGATATTTTTGTTAGTTTATGCCGAGTAGTACAAGCCATATGACTGTGGTAATGCGAAGGCACCTTCAGAGGGATAGTAGCAGCTTGGCATCACTGGCACCTTTCAGTCGTCCTTATAACTAGCCCTTTATTGGTTAGAATTGATGACTGAGGATTTCTGTGAAAGTCAAGCTGCCGGCAACGTCTTCTCCTGAATCCTCCTCCTGTCATCAAGGTTGGTGAGCATCGTTCCTCTGTAACCTAAAGAACCTATCACAAGCCAACTGAGCTTCGAAACCTGGTCTTAGCAGATTGGCAGTCACTCTAGCCAGGTCGGGGCTGTACTTGAATCAGCTCCGAAACCCGGTCTTAACAGGCTGGCAGTCAATCTAGCCAGGTCGGCCGGCTGTACTTGAACTGAGGTTTCGTGTTAAGTGTGCCGGCCTTGTGTCTGTAATGATGGCCGTTGGCTTGCTGCTGGGCTGGATTACGGTATGTCTCGCATCTCAGGCCACGTCGGCGCTTTTTTCCGCTCCCGGCACTGGGTACAGCACGGCGGTGTTTCTCGACCACATATGCACCGATGATGGCCGAAGTGAGATAGACACGAGCAGGAGCAAACCAATCGACCTGAGCAGCGTCACAGCGCCCATTACAAAAATGTCAAAACTGAACACCAGCAGCAGCAGCAGCGGCACCAGCAACGAGAGCAGGAGCAATTTAAGCATCAACAGCATAAGTAGCAGACCCTTACCAGTACGATGCACTAGGAAAGACATATCCGAGATAATCTACTGTTCGATCATGCAGAAGATCAACTTGAGTATACGGTCCTACAGGTCAAAGGTGGACTGGCCCAACCAGCCAGGTCCTTTGATGATACTGATTGCCGTTTTGAAACCATTCATTCAACTCACTCCCAATGATTCAAACACCAGCACTCTTATCTACCCCCAATGTACGCAAAGGGACGAACTTTTCGACATTGCTCTGGAAACATTTGCGAAGTGCGGCTTGCGAAGTCCACAAACTCCCCAGCGTTACACCAATGCCAAGGAAAAAGTCGACAGGCCCTTTTATTTCGCTTTCCTCGCCAAGATGTGTCTTCATCTCCTCTCGCAACCCAATGACTTTTTCTTTGGTAGTGTGGACAAGTATTCCGCACCATTGCCTTGTTGGGAACCAGAGTTGCTGACGGGAGAGTACTTGTATCGCCAACGAGGCCGTTGGGACGTGGACTCCGATTGCGTGGATGTGATCGGAAATGTTTTGCGTAGATCAGTTTCGTCTGCGATTTCTCATTTCTCTGCTTACATGTCTTTACGAACCCACTTAGCAAAGATTCCAATTGCAACTGCTCTAGCCGAACTCTCGTCACAACTGGTGATCCAGGGTATTCCCTGGGTGCTCAACGTTTTTATTCAAGTCTGGCTCCCAGAAATACTTAGCAGATTCAAAGAGGAAGCTGCTACACGACGGAATTTGTCGGCTTCTTCGGACCTTACAAATGTGTCCTGCCAGTTGAGAGGCCGGCTGGGTGACGTAGCGAAGTCGGTCACTATGGTCATCCGTCTGATATTGGCGAATGAGATCGCGAAACGCAATCATTCGCTAGGAGGCATTATAACCAGCTCATTTCTTAATACTCTTTACACCGACGGCATGCAGGATGCATTCTGAGAAAGTCACTTCTTTGTCACTTTCGGAGATTTAGTTTGTAGCGCAGAGCGATGTGTACATATGCGGGGGATGTTGGCATAACGTGTCTGCATTCGCCAACGGCTAGCATAAAAATTGGATTTTCATTACGAATGTGCATAAAATTGTATTCAGCATCACCTCACGCACACCACCGCCATTGTAGTTCCATCTCATTACCCGTCCTTCCTTAGCTTCACTGCCTCTAGCCTTTCTCTGTCCGCTCTACTTCTCCACGGGGATCGGTTACCACATACACATTATTTTGTTTAAAGCTTTTTGAAAAGTTTCTTACCAGTGGTCATAGATCCCCCTGAAGTAAATTCTTTTGTTATTGTTCTAATCTTGATGACATCCCTCAACCATCTCTTCCTTTTCAGTTAGACTTCGATTTTCTCGAATGCAATGGACACCTCGATAATTCTAACATCCCGTACCAACGTTCACTCTACTTCTACAGAATTCCAGTTTTTTCCTGGCCATATAAATTTTAATTCACATTCATCACACAGCAATGACGAAACCAAGTTCTTTCCCGCCTATACTCATCAGACAGCATGATAATTATGACCAAAACTCGCATTCACAAGAATAGAAAAGAAAAGAAAGTGAAAGGGCTCCATAAAGGGCACGAGTTCGATTGGGAATATAGGAGGAAGGGAGCGGCTCAGCCTCCTCGGACCAAGACCATTCGACTCAGCGCCCTGAAGAATACAACTGCTGAAAATTTGACTTCAGGCTTAACTTCCCCTTTAATGACTGTTTTTCCATGCACTGACAGTTCTACACAGACACTGTGGGACCTGGTTCTAAAGACCACCTGGCTTTAGTGACAGGTTTTGCTTGCACCGCGTACCGCCAGGTTGCTTGCACCGCTAGGGTGCTAGCGGCCGTCGTGAGTTCCCTTCGGGAACGGACACGATAATTTGCTTCTATTTTACTTTGCTTGCACCGTGGGGTGGTCGCTTGAGCCAGGTTTACTGTAAAGTTCTATTACAGAGGCGTCTTCTTGACATTTATTATAATTTAATTATATTCTATGTGCACATGCCTGTAACTGATTGCCGTTTTGAAACCATTTATTCAACTAACTCCCAATGCTTTAAGCACCAGCACTCTTATCTACCCCCAATGTAGGCAAAGGGTCGAACTGTTCGACATAGCTCTGGAAACATTTGCAAAGTGCTGCATGCGTAGTCCACAAACTCCCCAGCGTTACAGCAATGCCAAGGAAAAAGCCGGCAGGCCCTTTTATTTCGCTTTCCTGGCCAAGCTGTGTCTTCATCTCCTGTCGCGACCCAAAGAGGCCTTCTATGATTCCGGCCGTTCCGGACCACTGCCTTGTTGGGAACCAGAATTGCTGGCGGGAGAGTACTTGTATCGCAAACGAGGCCGTTGGGACGTGGACTCCGATTGCGTGGATGTGGTCGGAAGTGTTTTCCGCGGATCGTTTTCGTCTGCGATGTCGCATTTCTCTGCTTACATGTCTTTACGAACCCACGTAGCAAAGGTTCCAACTGCTCTAGCCGAAATCATGTTAGTGGTGATCGAGGGTATTCCCTGGGTGCTCAACGTTTTCATTCAAGTCTGGCTCCCAGAAATACTCAGCAGATAGATAGATGTCCACTTTAAAACTTTACTTCGCATTCTTCAAAACACATCAATAGCGTTGTTTATTGCGATTTTACAAACGTATTAGATTACACAAAAGGTATGATCATGTTCTGTTTTAATAATGTTACTTGCAGCGGTCCGTATTGGTTATATGGTGAACGCAGCTTAATGGGATCGCCCTACCAACCGTACATCGAGACCAAGTTCTACCAATCCTGGCTGGGTCACACTTGCTTTCACATGAACGCCTCCGGTACTGTGGTCACGGATAGTTGTCATACCCGCCACACCACCGCCATTTGCCAAAGACCTCGCAAGGGTAAGACTGGCTCTAGAAAAATCCCTCGACTGCAAATCAAGCATATTGCGTGATTCGTGATTCGTGTTGCCATCATCCACAGCTCGTCACTCGCTTTTCACATCTCACCTTTCCTTTTTTTTTCTCACAGAAGCTGGCTCATAAAACCTAACGAAATTACGGCAGTGGTTGGTATCCTGCGCTCCACAAATATCGGCCACTAAAGATGGAAGATTGGCAGTCCAGAACTAGGGCATGTGACCTGTTAAATAGTTGCACTCTCCGGGACAACTGACTTAATTTAATAATGCTTCCTCATCGTTTTTCTGCTTCTTTCTCCAGTTATGCCAACATGTTCACCATGTAAGGTGAAGAGAGGCAGTGACGTTGAAAGGCGACTGCTAAACAAGGCATTATGTCAAGATTTTGGTAAGACCGGGGATGGAGTTATCTTGTATAATTGTGGGCAGAATTTAAAATTGCATTGAACTGAGGTTAGGTATTCTATATTGTGAGAGGAGTTAGTTGAGGAATTAAATTAAAGTATACCATGTGCCTTTCGGTGCCTTTCTTAGGCCTGCGTCCGTTTATGCGAGCACGTATGTGGGCGGACTGTATATATGTGTGTGTGTGTGTGTGTGTGTGTGTGTGTGTGTGTGTGTGTGTGTGTGTGTGTGTGTGTGTGTGTGTGTGTGTGTGTGTGTTGAATGGTGTAATCCTAGCACAATTTGCTATGTCTAACATAGCTGTTCGCTATCATCGCTTCCGCGATGGGCATGTCTGAGTCTGAGTGTGTGTGTGTGTGTGTGTGTGTGTGTGTGTGTGTGCATGTGTATGCTTGACATGTGCGTTTGTAGATAGCGCGTATTGTAATTATTTCCTGTGAATACCTCTGCGTATATTTGGGAATAATTTTAATGCGTATGTGTTTGCGTGAATGTGTGTGTGTGTGTATGTGTGTGTGTGGCTGTGTGTGTATGTGTGTGTGAATGTGGCCTTGTCTTTCGCTCTGTGAACAATTCCAGCTGTTGTAGGATGGGTGACTGGTGAGAGCCTTGGTCATTACCATGTAGCCCTGTTGGCCATCTGCTCCCGTAATTCTGCCGCTGATCGCGTGCTCTCACGCTTCCAGACACGCGCTACACTGGGCTCGCGTTGTGCCGGAGTAGTCCCAGGAGCCAGAGCCAGTGTGATAAACGTGCAGAAGCCGCTGCCAGCGAGAGCGGCGCAGTGTCCGCCACCGTGTGGCCTCCGGCTGAAGAAAGGCAAGCGGTACCTTTTAGCCGGCTCTGTTCACAGCTTCACCAGCGAGTTTCAAATCAACACCGGCGTGGCGTTGCGCTGGCGACGTGTGAAGAACCTGGCAAGATCGAGTAGAGTGAACGCAACATGCTATCAATGAGACCAACTTGGAGATATCTTGCTTGGCGAGTTCTTTGCATTTGTTTGGACAAGCTGTTGAGGCAATGTATAGTGAGACGAGTTGGACCTGATACAACATGCTGCTGCAGTTGATCGACGAAATACGAGGTACATAGTCACACATACATGAACATAATTTCGTTCTACTTGTCAAGTACATTTCTGTTCAAACAGAACCATCCCTGGTACCCTACTACGGTACACCATGCACAGAGCTTGAGGACCTCACAAAAAGTCAGAACTTTTATTCAATCTATTTTAAATGTTTTTTTAATGTTCGCTGATGACAATCTGAACTGTCCACCTCTGCTGACGAAACCTAACGGTGTCTAAACAGCTAGCTGGACGAAGGTGGAGTGGCTCAGCTATAATCATGATTACGTGGCTTTTAGATAAACATGAACGTAATGGTGAATGCGAATAGCATGACGTACCAAAACCCGTTATGATCCGTCTCCAGTCAAATTTTGTCCATTTTGGAAATTTTCCTCGAAATCCCCGTGCAATGTACGTCAGTACTCTGGACGTGACATACCATTTTGAATATGCATTGTTCCGTTCTAGTCGAGAGGCTTTTTCTTTACAATGAAAGAGACATTCTCATCTGTATTGTATTGCTTTTATTTTACATGGCAAGGCAAACGGGCAATCATGCCCAATGTTAGGATGATGATGGAAAGGGAGAAAAGATTTAAAAGAACAAGATTAGTTTTCCTGGATTATGGGGAGTGACGAATCTTGTATCTAAATAGGGAAACTTCAATAATTATAATGTGCTATTCGACTGAATTAGGCCCGCGTTTCTTTGGCATGAGATAAAATACACTCATATCTCGGTTATCCGAACCCCGAAGTTACGGACAGTGCCCTGTCCAGGACCGCCAGGACGAGAGAGCTTCGAAGCTCAGGGCCCTACGCCATGCTTTTTTGCCTTGATGACCTAGACAAAAAAAAGCATGGGGATGTTATAAATTCTTTAAAAATCCTTTTTTTTTAAGACATAACCTGGGATTCGAACCCGCACTATCTCGCGCCCTGCATGCATCCCCGATACACTTCGCATACATACTAATTCTTCCAAGTTGTTTCACATTGTGATTTTGCATTTGAAAGCCCTATTTGAATATGCATTGTGGCCAGCCGTCTTTGATGGCACGGTACGGTAGGGGATAGGTACGGGACAGGTACGATCGAGGATAATACGACAACGTCTCCCGTACCGTACCGTACCATCAAACACAGCTGGCCACATACAGCTGCCCGCAATATTTAAATAGGGCTTTCAAACGCAAGATAATAACGTGAAGCAACTTGGAAGAATGGGTATGAATGCGAAGTGTATGGGGGAATGCATGTAGGGCGATAGTGCGGGTTCGAATCCCAGAATTTGCCTGAACAAAATAGGAAAAATCGAAAAATTTATAACATCCTATGATTTTTTGCCGTCAGATACGGATAGCGCCAGGCGTGACACAAACAAACAAACAAACACACAAACAAACAAATACCAAATTAAAGCTGTGTGGACCCTGGCTAGCGCCAGACGTTACTGAAGTAACGTCTTCTGCATAGCTACGGGAATAAATGAGGTATGAGTGTACGTGTCTGCTGGAGGATTCTGTGTAGCAGTTATTTGACACGTGACCAGAGTGTTGGCAAGTGAAGAAGAAGTGAGGCACTGTATTGTACTGTGTTTGCCAGGCATGGAGTGCGGCTGCAGCTGTGTATCTATGATAAGATGGACGTCATGGTCGACCAGCAAAGTAGTGGCAGGTGGTCCTTAGTAGAGTTAGCCTCTTTTATGGGCAAATTAACACAATGGTTAAAATGCAATAAATCATAAATCATACACTGGAGAATAAATCAGAAAAATGCATGTGTAAAAAGAACCTATTGGTGGGCAGGCTAACGTGCATGTACTTAGTATCCGATGAACGTATAATCCCAACTGCCTCTAGTACGGAGTGTAATCATACCTGTGTTCTGGACAGAGGTCATACCAAGCAAGAGTATCTCTTATCGAAGTACATGTACACACAAAGCGAGCTCCAGTATGAACGGCTATGACGAGGGTACAATGGGATGCAGATCCACCTCCGTGGTTGGGCTCACCCTCTCCTCAATTCAATTAGCTGTTCATGATCATCTCGTTGGCTACTCGCTTGCACTGTAATGTGTAGAGGGCTGTTTGCTGCCTTGCCCATTCCACCCTTACCTTACCTGCCGACACCAACAGTACTTGTCCCATACAGGTACATACACACACACACACACACACACACACACACTGTACTGTACTGTACTGTACTTGTTGCTCACTGCCAGGACTGGTCACGTGAGTCCCACCGGGAGAGGGGAGAGAGACTCAAAAGGAATCTTGGAAAGATGACTCAATTGGTTATTGAACCGTCCAACGGCCGACTCCCCCTGAAATCCCCAAAACTCTGGGTGGACTTGAAAATGATCCCACTTATGGGCTCACCACACCTCAGTAAGTGGGTGAGGACAAGGTGCAGAAAAAGGATTGACGGAATCAGGTATCCGTCCCGGGATCCAACTGCAGTTACCCCTGCCCCCAGTGAAGGTAATATTTGCTACTAGTGTGAGTGGCTAAATCAGAGTGGATCTGATAAAAGCTTCACTAGCACCATTGATTACACAAGAGTTAATCTAGCCAGAAGCAGTCCATGGTTAACAGGTATGTATACTTCAAATAGAAAGTATATGAACACTGGAACCAACAAAGGTGGCAGGTAGAACATTACACCTTCAAGCAGCCGAGCCTGTTGGCAACAGACCCAACACAATCAGGCATAAGTGTACCTACCAACCGAACTAGCTGGCACAGCACACACACACACACACACACACACACACACACACACACACACACACACACACACACACACACACACACACACACACACACACACACACACACACACACACCTGACCTGACCTTTGACGCCCATCGCCGGAGGCGATGATAGCAATGCTATGGCAGAAGCCATAGCAACTTGTGCTGGGATTGCACCATTCAACAGCTTGCAAGGCTGAAGAATTGACACACACACACACACACACACACACACACACACACACACACACACACACACACACACACACACACACACACACACACACACACACACACACACACACACACACACACACACCCGTACGCTCTTTCTCTCCCTCTCTCTCTTTCTCTTTCTCTCTCTCTCTCTCTCTCTCTCTCTCTCTCTCTCTCTCTCTCTATCTCTCTCTCTACATATTTCTCTCTCTCTTTCTCTTTCTCTCTTTTTCTCTCTCTTTCTCTCTCTCTCACTCTCTCTCTCTCTCTCTCTCTCTCTCTCTCCCTCTGTCTGTCTGTCTGTCTGTCTGTCTGTCTGTCTCTCTCTCTCTCTCTCTTCCTCTCTCTCTCTCTCTCTCTCTCTCTCTCTCTCTCTCTCTCTCTCTCTCTCTCTCTCTCTCTCTCTCTCTCTCTCTCTCTCCCTCTGTCTGTCTGTCTGTCTGTCTCTCTCTCTCTCTCTCTCTCTCTCTCTCTCTCTCTCTCTCTCTCTCTCTCTCTCTCTCTCTCTCTCTCTCTCTCTCTCTTCCTCTGTCTCTGTCTCTCTCAATCTCTCTCTCTCAATCTCTCTCTCTCCTTCTCCCTCCCTCTCTCTCTCTTAGAAATATCTTCTCATAGAAAAGAAAAAGGACCAAGGAACTATAAGTTACGCTATAATGTCAACTAACACCACCAGTTTCTAAACAATCAGCTCATTCGATAACATTGCACGAAACTGAATCCATGAGCCCATTTTTGCACACCTTTCATTGATCTTCGCATCTTAGAGACACACACGTGATGTGGATTATTGCTTTCGATTCTGGAATCGTGGTGTTCCCGTATCGTCATCGACATACATGAACATCCGCCAACGTCCTTCACAGCTAAGGCGTTCAGCTCGTGCGTATCTTGGCTGGGCTCATGTTCTCCTCTTATGTTATCATATAACTTAGAACCTTCCAAGTTGGAATGTTGTTGGAGTGCGCATCCAATATCTGCTAGAGCTGTTAGGCAGTTAGTTGTAGGACGTCAGTACCGTCCGTCCGTGTCGTGCAATTCTATCGCACAAGTGCATTGTTTAGTAGCTGGTGGTGTTAGTGGACATTATAGCGTAACTTGTAGGTCCTTGGTCCTTTTCATCTCTAAATTTATGCTTGGATCTCCATCCGAGTCCATATTTAAAAGTCCGAACATCAATACGACTCGCACACTCAGAATCAAATTGCACTTGAACGACAACCCTATTTGGGCTAAAGGGACTACCCATCTGCTAGCCTAGAACCGCGTTCTTAACACCAGGCAATTCGCAGCTGGCGCTCTTCCTGCGTTCTTGCGTCCTCTTCCCACGATGTTGGTATGTCATTTGCTGAGTAAAAATGCGTCAACACGATGTACGCGTCTGTCGCAATCAGGTACGTCAAATAGACAAGTAAAGGATATGTGGAGATGGATGACGATGCGAGGTCATGACCTACAGCACGCATAGAACCACGCATTGATGCTGTGGGAGGCCGCTATCCCGATAACTCTCGTCCGACGCGAACAAATCTACTGATATTTTTGTTAGTTTATGCCGAGTAGTCCAAGCCATATGACTGTGGTAATGCGAAGGCACCTTCAGAGGGATAGTAGCAGCACGGCATCACTGGCACCTTTCAGTCGTCCTTATAACTAGCCCTTTATTGGTTAGAATTGATGACTGAGGATTTCTGTGAAAGTCAAGCTGCCGGCAACTTCTTCTCCTGAATCCTCCTCCTGTCATCAAGGTTGGTGATCATCGTTCCTCTGTAACCTAAAGAACCTATCACAAGCCAACTCTGCTCCGAAACCCGATCTTAGCAGATTGGCAGTCACTCTAGCCAGGTCGGCCGGCTGCACTTGAACTAAGGTTTAGTGTAAAGCGTGCCGGCCTTGTGTCTGTAATGATGGCCGTTGGCTTGCTGCTGGGCTGGATTACGCTATGTCTCGCATCTCAGGCGACGTCGGCGCTTTTTTCCGCTCCCGGCACTGGGTATAGCACGGCGGAGCTTCTCGACCACATATGCACCGATGATGGCCGAAGTGAGATAGACACGAGCAGGAACAAACCAATCGACCTGAGCAGCGTCACAGCGCCCATTACAAAAATGTAAAAACTGAACACCAGCAGCAGCAGCAGCACCAGCAACGAGAGCAGGAGCAACTTAAGCATCAACGGCACTAGTAGTGTAATGGGTAGCCGAGTGGTAGGCGCGGTGAAATCAACAAGAATTAGTTTTATTCTACTTCTTTCAGGTACACACCTGAAATATAATTTTTAGTGAAAGAAGAAGCAGCAAAATAACTTTCTCTCCGGTGCAAACCTGGAGGTTGAATAGTTCGTTATTATAAATCTCATCTAAACAGAAATGCGCAGCAGCTTTTATGCAGCAGACGCCGTACGCTTACATACGGAGATACACTAACTATACATCAGGCAAATCTCCGTATTAGTTCCGTACTACTTCCGTATTGGTCGGGCAGGGATACTACAGTAGCAGACCCTTACCAGTACGATGCAGGAGGAACAAGAATTAGTTTTATTCTAC